CCCCTCAATCAAAAACAAGTTTTTGCAAATTGGGTATTTTCAAGAATCAACTTCCCTTCAACCCAAAACAAGTTTTTGACTGTTCATCAGTGGATCAAGTGTAAACTTGAAGAAATGAAAGGGGTTTATCTACCTTTTTTGCTTTATAATTTTATTACTATTATTGGGGGAGAGGGGATTTGTGGTGGAGGAGGAACAAAGCTAAAGACCCCACGAAAAGGAAATTTTTTTGGAGAAGATGTGGAACCTGAAGTACCCACGTTTTCTCCTATCTTCACATCGTAAGCAACCCCGGTACTACACCAGGGCATTTAAAAAAGTTTAGCATTAACCTCCAGCTTGCACTGTGTTCCCACGAGAATCGAACCATAAGTATCTATTATAGACATTTAATTTAGTAAGTGATTGATCTCACAATTTGAACTCGTGATAATAATTTTTGTCAATGAAAAATTAAGTAAAATACATAAATACTATTGTACTCGTTTTTTTCTAGCTTATGTTGAAATGTTTGATTGAATATGAAGTTTATAAAGAAAATGAAAATTTATATGAATATAAATAATTTTATTAAGTATAAAATGAAATAATGAAATAAAATTGTTAGTAGCATCACTTTTTAAATTGAGTTGTTAGTAGTATCACTTTTTAAATTGATTTAAAATGAAAAAATGTGATATATATTGAAGACGGAGAATAACATGATGGCATATCATTTTTTGAAAGTTTTACAAACAACTTAAGGACCGTTTGGATTGTCTTAAAAAAATAGTTTTTAAGTTAAAAATAAAAAGTAGGGGAGACCTACTTTTGGTTTTTGACTTATTTTAAGTCATTCTTGACCTTGTCAAACACTTTTCATCTTATTTTAAGTCATTTTTGACTTATTTTAGTTATTTTTTATATTTGTCAAACACTTTCAGAAATAAAAAATTGACTTAAAAGTAGGTTTGATCAACTTTTAAGCCAATGACTGTTTGGATTGGCTTAAAAGTTGATCAAACCTACTTTTCAGTCAGTTTTTGACTTCTGAAAGTGTTTGACAAATATAAAAAATAACTAAAATAAGTCAAAAATGACTTAAAATAAGTTGAGAAGTGTTGGCAAGGTAAAAAATGACTTAAAATAAGTCAAAGACCAAAAGTAGGTCTCCTCCTACTTTTTATTTTTTTGACTTAAAAGTCATTTCAGTTTGATTTTTATTTTTGACTTAAAAACGATTTTTTTAAAGTCAATCCAAACGGGTTACAAACAATGTTAATTTTATAAGTAGCTTACTTAAATAGCTTGCAAGGAATTTTTTTTTATATATAAATAAAAAGTTAAATCTTATATTTTGTATATTGATCTATATATAGAAAATACATTCTGTATAATATTCATTACTTACGTTTCAAAAGGAAATAAGAAATGATTTGGAGAATTTGTAGTAATGTTATGAATATAACATAAAAAAGATAATATTTAAATTGATATATTAAAGTGGATAATTAATGTTCAAAGAATCCCCTCCCCCTTAACCTTCTAAAAGAAGTGAACAAATAAAAGTGAAAATTATTTTTAATATAATGAATCACATGCGATATGTCATATAAAATATGTGTATTTAATTGTTCAACTTTATAATGATTTAAGAGTATTTATATACATTCAAAATTGACGACATAGATATCGAGTGATGCCAATTAAAGGCATGCTTATTTATTATGCCTTTTATTAGATATTGTTTCACATGGAAGTTGGAGTAGATTTTTTTTTTGGAACTACACCCTTCTACATGGTTTGTTTAAATTTTGCCAAAACTATTATGGAACTAAATCACCATGATTAAACTCTAATTTCTTGTTATTTTCAATTGCTTTGCATTAGCAAAATGTGACAATTTATATCCTACCTGACATCCTACGTGTAATATGTCACATAACGTAGAGCTGTCAAAAAGGGCCGGCCTAGCTCCACCCGGCCCAAGCCTCGCGGGCCAAGGAATTTGAAGGGCTAGGGCGGGCTGGCCCATCATTCGGAAGGGCCTGAAAATGCTCAACCCAACCCAACCCTAGAAGGGCCGAGGGCTGGGGCGGGCTAGCCCTTCCTTTTTCTTTTTTTTTTTCTTTTCAAACTTATAATTCTATAACATCAAGAAAATTAGAAGATTTTCAAATCAAATATGGCAAACAATGGTGTTCTTTATTAATAACACTAACAAAAAGTCTAGTGTAATTAGCATGCATCTCGCATACCAAATACGCGAGCGAGATAAGAGAGTGACAAGCAAGATTGGAGGGAGGCGAGGGCACGATATTTGTCTATCCATCATAGATACATGCGAATCTACTTTAATCGAGTGTATCTAGAACATATTAACCTAATTTTGAGTCCATATATTTCGAGTTACATGAATCTGAACGTACCAAAATCTGATAAGATTCATAATATTACAACATATCGTGTATTTAAGTAATTAGATTATATACTAGTGAGATTATTGTAAGTTACCCTTAAATAAAAAGTTTTGGCCCATGGGCCGACCCCGGCCCCGCCCCGATCAAGCCTCAAGGGCCAAGGGCTTATATAAGCTGGGCATATAAGCCCTAGTGTTAAAGGGGCTTGAAAAATCCTATCCCAACCCTACCCCAATAACGGGTTGGATTGGGCCACCCCCATGGGCTAAGCCAGTTTTGATGGCTCTACGTACACTTATGTCTACTTGTTCAATTTTTATACAATTTAAATATCTACTTGTGCATACCCAAAGTTGGAGGACATAAATGTTAGCTAAGACAAATTTATGTATTATCAAGAAACATTGCACAACAACATGACAGATCAGACACATACTATTTGCATTCTGAGATGTTTTGGAACCCGACTAATCTTGATTCACAGTGGAAAGTCCTACTTGGAGGTGTCTCCATTTCCAAGACTTGAACTCGGGACCTCTGATTAAGAATGAATAAGTACTTATCACCCAACAACAACCTTTTGGGACAACCTTTCTTAGATATGGTATTTGTGATTCTACATATTTTCATGAATTCATTGAGTTGCAAGCAAACTCAATATAGTTGTTACTACTACTCACATATGACTAGCAATCACAAAGCACAGACAACATCCTGCTGGCAGACGAACTAGACAATGGATCGGACCATATCTGAACGTATCCCAACGTTCAAGTAACTGGCTATGTTGAATCAGTATTGCAAGTCTTTTCCAACTGCAGGACAAGGCTAGCATCAGCATTAACGAGGATGATTTCACTTTCATCGTCAAAAAGTCGTATTGAATAGCAAAGTGTTCCTGGTATAACATAAGAGAATGAAGTTGTTAATAGAGTTGAATATGAAGAAACTAGAAACGCGCACCAGAAGAGAAAGATGAACTTTTTGATAAGGTAAATGATTTCATTATAATGGGAAAATCTCCCATATACAACCAGCATACACAAAAGCAGACATGAAATAAAGACGACTTGAAGCGTCTAAATCATGTTTTGTGTGCAATTACATAACATAGTGACCTTTGCCCACCAAGGACTTCATCGACCTCTAACAAATTTAAACTTTCAAAGGAACCATCAGCATTTCCTAATATCTTTTGGAAAATAGATTCAATTTTCAGAATCGACTAACTTCTCAAACGTGTTCCATGCCCTTCCTGAATATCAAAATGGAGCAAACCGTCTTGCAAATGCTGGGATGGATCACCACTTACCACTATTACAATCTGAGAATAAGTTGAGGTTAAGAAAGTAAAGGAGACAATTTTTACAATCGTTCAGCTGTGACGAGTCATTCAGTCACAAGACAGTTGCCAATCCATAGCTAAATAAACTTACCAAGTATGCAAACATCGAAGTTGTAGAGCTAAGCTTCATTATCTTGTCCTTGGTAGCCGAGGAGACTGGAGCAGGGAAGGGCCTTGATAAATATAAAATCTTACACCTCTACAACATTTTGAACAATTCTACAATTGAGTTGCCACTAATTCTCAGCTACAGATTATCTTTTCCATCACTTTTCTGCTTCTTAGGAGTTGGGGAGAGGAAGGTCATTAACAACCTATCTACCTTCACAGGTAGGAGTAAGCTCTGCGTACACCCCCCCCCCCCCCCAACCCTACCTTCACATTGAGTATGTTGTTGGAGAAAGGTCGTTCTTTTACCTTATTATCCTCCAAATTGTTCACCTTACTAGATTCTCAATGTCCGTTCATGACATTTTGTTTCTTGGGAACAACATATGTTGCCTCCCTAAATTCCAAATTTCGATAGGAGGATAATCAGCTATGACAGAGTTTGTCTATTCATAATACTCATATGTAAGAATAAAATGTAAAGGTTTAATGGTCTTACTTTTTCTTGGCTGCGAAATCTTTTGGAAGCCTCCACTCCATCTTCTTCCGTGCCAGTACATATCCTCCACATTCAAATCAGTATTGCCAACGGCGAAACGCACAAAAGCACCAAGGTCCATTGGAGCTTTAAGCGGAAACCGCAAATAAAGCGTGGACTTTAATGAAGAAAATATACAAATATATGTGTACTCAAAAACTTAATATAATTATAAGCCTGAACAACAAAAATATATGGATAAAGAAATTGAAAAAAATTACCATAAAGTGAAATATCAATTGTTAAGTATCGCCTCTTGAGAATTATACTCATTGGCAAGGGAAAATATGGCTTAAGAGTCTTGATGACGACACTGAAGAGCCCGCTAAGCAAGACGAAGCGCTCAACATGTTATACACCTTGCTTCAATGCTTAAAGCACGCCTTTGACAACACTTATTTAAATTGAGGATAAATGACTTTCAACTCATTTGATAGTCCATGATACTACTAACATACTCAAAGAAAATGCAGAGATAGAACAAAAAATGAATCTCCTATGTGATAATTCACTTATGAATGTAAACATTCTTTGTACAAAAGAAAAGGTCAAGTGTTCATTTTGCTATTTGCATCAAGCAGAAGCAGATCAGAAGACAGATAAAAATTCCATAATCAGATCCTGTGTTCAATAGTAAAGATACAATCTTTTCTGATACAGATTGCATCATGACAGAGCACACTAATCTATGCAACAACAACAACAACGAACACCCAATGTAAGGCCTGAGGAGGGTAAAGTGTACGTAGACTATACCCCTAGACTGTTTCCGATAGACCTTCAGCTCAACGAAAAAACTACACAAAGTTATGCATAACTTAAAAACACATTTGGTTATCATCATTCAGCAAATGGATACATTTTAAACAAGAAAAAAAATCAGAATTAAACGAAAAACATAGAAAAAAAAGTTCTTTTTTTCAATCATAATCATCAAAAATTAACTAGAAACACAAAGGGGCAATGATATGAAAATCATCAGATGGAGGTGGAAAGTTCAAATCAAACGGCAGAGGATCTTTACAAAACGACGACGTCTGATCATCGCCGCCGCCAATGCAATTACCATCCACCACAGAAGACGACGAATCACAATCACTATGGCCTTCCCCCATCGGAATCCGGCGAGGAATTTCAATCCGCGGTTGCATAATTTTACACAATGCACGCGCATCACTCGATGATTCCACCGTACTACTCATACTACTCGACGCCGGCCTTGATTGTTGAAGATTTTCAAATTGATTCTCCCCATAAGGAGGCAATATTGGGAAATTAGTTTTCGCTTTAGCTCCATGAAAGGACCTTGCAGCAGTATCATAAGCTCGTGCAGCACCCTCCGCTGTATCAAATGTACCCAGCCATTTCCGAGCTTTTTTCACCGGATCCCTTATCTCAGCAGAGAATCGACCCCATGGCCGTTTACGTACACCCCTATAACGAGGTGGGTCAATCTCCGATTGTCGAAAAACTACGGATCTTGATCCATTTGTATCCGGATTTTTCCGACGGGGCATGGCCGGTAGGTGGAAATAGGAGATGGGGTCGTCGGAAATTGTCGCCGGCGGCCACCAAGTTGATCGGAATTGTGTAAATTAATGTTGTTGATGATTATTTTCCATGGAGATGAAGTTGATAAGCGCAAATCCGCAATGGTGAAGAAAGGGGAAAAGAGTTCATCTTGTGATATAATTTATTTATTTATTGGTTATTTTATTTTTTTGGGATATGCTTTGCTTATTTGGTGGATAGAGAATTATGAATAGTAAGTATCTACCAATCAATCAACAACTTTCAAATTTCCAATCACCAATTATTTGAGTTCAATAAAATATAGAATTTTTTTTAAAACTATATTTAACTTTTCTTTATTTTGAACTCAAACAAAAAGATTTATTTAAATTGAATCCTTTTTTTAAAGAGCTTTCACGCCCTTCAACTAATTCCTTAGATATCTGTCTACCTTTCACCCGCAACAGGTAGTAGGTAACTCTGTCCACCAAAGGCTAAGACAGGTTAAATTAATCTTTTCTTTTAACTCGACTAATTCTATGGGATATTTGTCATCTCCTACCAGTAACATGTATTAGATAACTTTGTCTATTAATGCTATGACATAGTTGAATTGAATCTTTTATTTTATTGGTATAATCTTAAAAAACTATTTTTCAAAAGATAAACTAGAAAAACTCGTGTTAACCTTAAGAATAACAAGGCTCGAACTGAAAATAAATTTTTATGCAAGTTATAAGTATAGCTCAAGAGATGAGATTGGATTTGCATCATCTGAAATTAAAGAAGCTTCGTGGTCTTGGTATGTGTAAGTTGACATTTTTTGAGGAGGTCCTACATATATAAAAGAATTATATAAGTTGTACACGAAGTTCTCTAAGTGTGAGATTTGACTTGACACGATTAGATTTATGAGTCAACATTTTTGCCAAAGATAGGAGGATCGTGATAAATCTAAATATAAGTCCCTTTCATCTTTGAAGCATAAAGCGTAAGTATAGTTTCTTTCTCTCCATATTGTCCACCAAATGAACGTATGGATCTTAATCCACCAACCAAAAATAAGTAATTTTGACATTCTCAAAACACTTTTAGAACTTCACAAAGGTAACACTTTGAGCACAATTAAATCCTCTTCTTCATAGATTTTTGTGTGTCGCACACTACTTTGTATGGGGCATTTGTCTTTCAGATTACTCCAGCAACCGCTACTAGGTAACTCCATCCACCAAGGCTAGAACCTATGGGGAAGAAATCACCTAGTATTTTTTATCTCTGTTGGAATTGAAACCTGAGACCTCATCATTCTCAACCACTTCATTGACCACTAGACCACACACGCCCCAAAACTACTGGTAAAACAAATAAGACTTTTTCTCCGGTTAACATATAACCCTGAAACAATTCAAAAACAGTGAGAATCAATCTCAAAATGTCTTAACTGCTTCACTCAGCATCACATGTAACAATCGTATCATTGACATATAAGAGATGAGCTATTTCTACTCAATGCATTGTTATTACAGCAATAAAATGCAAATCGTTGAATCAACAATATACATGAACTTCTGGATGAATTGATGTGAATACAATGTCAAATCCACAATGGAACTTCTTGATCTGATAGCAACTTAGAATGATACAATATATAACCAATCTGCAAAGACTAGATTTCAGGTATGGTACTCCGACTTCTACACTGAGAACCCGTCTACTTTTGACATGAGTTGTCTGTCGTCTTGGTTTATTCATCCTACCTTCGGATAAGTGAAACAATGTCAATAATAAGCTATCCGAGCAAGCATTAAGATATGAAGCCAAACAAGCAAATAAGTTAAATCTGATTTTCTGCTATGTTGCTCAGACTCTCCAAAAAATGTTGCCCCACACTTAGCAGATCCACTAAAACTACACTACTTTAGAAGGATCCAACACACACCCGTCAACATTTTTGAAGAGTTTTGAGTAACATAGACTTATTGGGTCAAAATAGTAGTATATAAATAACATTGTCATCTTTTAAAAAAAATAAGAACAATAGTATTGGTGTTACCTCGTGGAGGTAAAGAGGTTGTTTCCAAAGACCCTCGGATCAATTAACGCATATCAAGTTTGTTATTACCAATTTTCAACTTGTTAATATCAAAGAGACTTCTAAAGTACAAATTCTATATTCAGTCTGTCACTTAAATCAACATGCAAAACTTGTAGTAAATTCATTTCTCTACTTGCCTGGTGGATTAAGAAGTTGCAACAGCATTTATTCTCCCGAAATTTCTCTCCATTCGCACTTCTAGAGTTTCGTTACCCATACTTTGCTGCTCCTCTTGGATCTCTTTAGCTGAAAGCACTGCAGATTGGCTTGAATTTTCCAGCTCAATTATCTGCAAAGTTGGAATATCTCCCAGATCGTGAGGGATGCTGTCCAAGAGAAGGCAATTCTTAAGAACTAGATGTTCCAGGACAGGAAAATGATCATTTGAGGCACTCCAGTGCTCTAAATCAAACATCTCGATCTGCAACAGTTTTAAAGAACAGAATCCCTCTTCAACTTGTTCCCATTTTGGTCCTGTGAAGGCATAAGGTTTTAGTTTGAGTACCTCGAGATTTGGCAATCTACAAAGAGATGTCATGCTCTCCCATGGCAAGTAGGTGAATCTCAAAGTCAATTTCTTAAGATTCTCTGGAAGTGCATCGAGATGAAGTGCTAATTTTGGTACTTGTACAGGTGGTCTCAACCCAACAATCTTTAATGCTTCGAGTTGAGGTAGGAGAGCGAGATTTCTAAGGCAATCTGACCACAAGTCTGATATTGTATCACTACAATAAGGCCACAGATTTTCAGACGTGTAAAGAAAGTCACTCCACGGAATCTGGACCGGATAAGTATACTCAACCGTTTCACATATTCCCAATTTCTTCAACTTAGGAGTGCTTGAGAAGACATCTGTTGTACAATCTGCAAGGGTAATGTTGGTAAGTGTTTGTAGGTTATTCAAGACCAAAGAATTGTGTCCGCTACGTTCTTCATTGGTTTGGCTTGGCAAACAGATGCTTGGTTTTATATGGAGATGTCTGAGGTTTGGCATCTTCCAAATCTCCCGAGGCAAAGTTGAGTCTCTTGAATACACATGAAGGATTAAAGTCTGCAAACTCCAAAACTGTGATATAGCTGGAGGGAATTCACTACTAGTGGCCAATGCAAGGTAACGCAAATTAACAAGTTGCATTATCTCACTAGGAAACTGAGGGAAATATGGGGAAGTGATATCAAGAATATCAAGAACTCTGAGCAATTTGAAGTCTATGTATGAAAAGATTGGACTTTCAGAAATATTGAATCCCAAGATGGAACGAGAAAATGAAACAGTAGGATCAGTGGGGTGAAATGAGTAACTTGAGAAGATGGTGCTACAATTGAAACTAACCCGACGCAGAGCTGTTATGCCTTCTGATAGAACATCAAGGGATTGCTTCTTCAAGAAATGTAGAAAGTTTTGTCTTTTAGCTTCTTCTAAGCAAAAGTCTCGCATGATATCATGGAGTTTACATGTTTTGAGTTTTCCGTTAGACCGCTTTACAGCTAAAACCAAACTTCTATCAATAAGATCCTCCAAGCACTCCTCGGCTATCTCTTCCACGGTCGTAAGCCCTGTTGCATTAAGAAAGCCCTCAGCAACCCATAGCCTGATCAGCTTCCACACAGGAATCTCAAAATCTTCAGGAAATGCTCCCATGTACAAGAAGCAGGCTTTTAGATGTTGAGGCAGGTAGTTATAACTTAGAGCAAGTATGTCTAAACACTGCCCTGGCTCACGATTCACAACGGAACCCACACTTTCTGCAACAGTGTTCCAGCAATCAGTAGTCTTGCTCATTTTCGAGAGATGCCCTGCAACCACAACAATTGCTAGAGGTAGTCCTTGGCATTTTTCTGCAATACTTCTTCCAATCTTTTCCAATTCAAATGGACATCCTCTTTTCCCAAAAAGTTTCTGATGGAGTAGCTCCCAACCTTCATCATTATTTAGAAAATCCAGTCGGTGAGGTTGCCCATCAGGATTAGCATAAGTTGCTAGATCAGTGAGCCTACTCGTTAAAATGATACGACTTCCCTTATTATCATCAGGAAACAACCTGCTCACATTGTCCCAAGCATCAGTGCTCCACATGTCATCGACAACAATAAGAAATCTCTTCCATTTTAAACTTTTGTACACTCGATCCGCAGTTTCTTGGTTTCTTCTTTCATAAATTTCTTTCGAAGAATGAGTCGTTAGTCCACCATACAGTTGATCAGCAGCTTGTTTGTCACTCTCTTGATTGATTTCATTGGTTGGAGGAACAACAGAATAAAAGAGATCAAATAAAATGTCTCTTTCTCTATACTCTTGAGAAACAGTTATCCAAGCATGAACATCAAACCGATTAACAACAGAAGGATCATTATATGCTCTCTTCGCAAGAGTTGTTTTACCAATACCAGCCATTCCGACTATAGTAATGATATCTAGTTCAGAAGGCCCACCTCTGAGCCTATCAACTATTTTCTCCAAGTCTTCCTGGAAACCAACTGGTTTTTGTTGCACATTTGGACTACTTGTCGATGCATGCCTAGCCGGTGAAACCTTAGAACGAAACTTCAAAGTGCTAATCTTTTCACCCTTAATTTTCATCACTTCTTTTTTGATGAACTCCATTTCTTCAATTGCTACCTGCAGCCTCTTACATAGGACTTCGAAGGCCTTTCTTCGGTAATTTGCATTTTTGGCCAGAAAATATTTTCTCAGCTTTGAGTCAACAATATCTTCAACTTGATATGTTTTCTCTTTGATCTTTCCTTCCAATATTTTGAGCCTTTCATGCCTATGCTTTATCGTTTCATAATCCGTCAAAAACTCTTGAAAAGCAATAATTCTTTTGCTTAGTGATGAGATTTGCTCTTTCCTCTGAAGATTATTCAGTAATGGATGATTGCATTGCATTAACAACTCGAGCGAGCATACAGCAGAGGTCAAAGCAGCATAAGCCATTTCTTCTTCCTTAGAAATTACATTAAACAAACTATGATCAAACTAGCGTCGGAGCAGCTTTCCTTTAGTTATTCCTAGGAACAAAACACAAATGTATTATGCAATCGTAATAACAGGTAACGCAATCT